CAGCAAATCTGAGTCGTCAAGAATTATAGAAGACAACAAGTCTGTTCATATCCCCAAATGATACCACTCTGCTTGAGATCAGAAATCTTACGCAAGCTCATTGCGTGTTACTATGCAGTAGATAACCATTTAATCTGTAAATTGAACTGCTCATTGGAGACGCCCCCCAGAGTACAAAAGAAGCCGAGAAAATGAAGTGGTCCCAACAAATTCCTTTACTGAGCGCTGCTGTTACCATTTAACTTATGAAACAATTCATACAAGATCTTCGTCCCCATCATCAGCCTCCATAGCCTCATCCTCATCCAAATAGTCATCTTCGCCAGTCGGTGCCGCATCCTCAATGGTGATATCCCCATCACCCACAGCTTTAATCTTGGCCTGCGTCATCTCGAAGACATATTGTCCAAGATGCTCAACACTCTCCATTGGCGTACCTTCAATGGTGACGTTAACTTCCCGCGACGAAGGGAACATCTCGCCAGGAGCGAGCATGAGCTTATCCGGTCGTTGCAGAAGAAGGTCGAATGCGGGTTTAAGTTCGTAGCACGATTCGAAGACTTCCCGTCGGCCGAGGATATACAGACCCAGTCGTGCGCGCGAGAGAGCTACAGTCAAACGGCGGACGTCGCGTAGATATCCGACGCTGCGGGTTCGGGTGAGAGAAAGGATGACGTCTAGAAAAATGTTAGCAATTCCAATATTCCGAGTGATGTGAATATGCTTCTGGGGGAAGTCAACGCACAATCATTCTGCTCTCCCTGGTAGCGATCCACCGTCGTCACAATCTTGGGCATTCCAAACATAGGGTTCTTCCCACAGCGGTGACTCAATACATCCCGAATCAGAGCAGTTTGCCCAGCATATGTGGCTAAGATCGAGATTTTAGAAGCAGGGTAGCCCAAGAGTCGCATGTACTGATACATGGCCACTGCGTACTCCGCTTCGCCCAAATTCTGGATAAAGTGGGGTGTTGGCTCCCGCTCTCCAGAGCCCTGGTAGTCGGGAACATTGATAAATTGGTAGTCGAACTGGAAACCAGCATTGGCCTGCTGGTACTCGGGGGCAGTTTCAACCACTGGAAGATCCCCGAGTTCCTTGTACCGCCAGCGGAAGAGCTCTGCAATGCTAGGTCGTGCGCGTCCCTGCTTATCCAAGTTGATCACTGGGACACCCAACCGCGCCAGTCGCAAAAAGAGACTTTGCTCGAAGTGGGCATATTGACGGAAACCCATATTCTGAATGATGGGTGAATTCTGGTGGTGATCACCACAGAGAACAACACGCTTGAGAGGAAGTTCGCCGTTTTTCGTATTTTGCAGAGCGTTGGGAATGAAACTCTCAACTTCAGTAATCTGCGCGGCTTCTTCCATGACCACGTTGTCATAGTGGAATCCTAGATCGGCAATTTCTTGCCGACGCATAGCTGCATGAGTCGAGGTCATCGCGATAATTCGGGCCTCCTTTATGAGGAGATAGTTCGCTTTGTCGCGAGGTTGTCTTAGGATCTCGAAGGGCCGGATGTCTTCCAACTCAGAGAAGATTCGGGCAATGTGGCGTTCGCAACCTGCAGCAGTATCGATGATCGCCTCCTTCGAGGCTTCAGCTTCAAATATGGGCTGGGGGGCATTTGCGAAGTATGATTGGAATGGGAAGGATGCAACAATCTCTTCATTTGATATTCCTTCGGAGTTGGCTCGATCCCAGAATTTGGCCCATGTTGGCTGCACGTAAACTGTATTGAAGTAGCCTGCAGTCTCGCATGAGTTTCCATGCGCACCCTCGACCCCAAGCGATGCTGCCAAGCGCATCACTTCTGACAAATAGTGATTACGGTTGTCAAGGAAGGATTCGACTCGTCCATACTTGCTGTAGTTGGAATCAGTGTCCAATTCTTCCTCGCCGTGACCCAGTCGCAACAAGTGCCGTTCATCAATGTCAAGGGCGATGATTTTCTGGAATAATTGATTGAGGGCTTGGTTGCTGTGTGCAATGAGTAGCGTCCGTTCGTTGGGGAAGTTGTGGTAAATGTTGTTAATTATTTGAGTGGTGACATCAGTCTTTCCAGTACCAGGAGGTCCCACAATGACGGTGAGTCCAGGCTGTGTTCCAGATGCTATGGCTTCCACTTGGGCGGGTGTGAATCGGATTTTGTTCAATTTGGGAGTGTCGACGGGGTAGGGGCCAGGGTTTGGGGGCTTGTATGTGGAAACACGCATACTGCTAGGCGCCAACTCTGTCGCTGCAGCTTTTTCCCGGCGTCGCTTCTTCGGCGCGTGAGGCTCTTCTGCAGGCTCTTGGTTAACATATTCAATAACGTAGGGTGGACCAAAGCTAGCATTCTCAGCCCCCGAAGGTTCAATGCCCGGGAAGCTTTCCACCAAATGGGACCAGTCCAAAAGGGTGTCTCTAAAGTCAACAGTGCTAAGTCGGTTTGGCAGCTGTGTGTATTGAGCACTAGCGGGATCTCCATAGCCCAGGAAGATGTCCTGGAGCCAGGAAGGAAGCGTCATATCAGAGACAATAAGCTTTTGCATCGTCTGCAGGATTGACTTGAAGTTATTCTCTCTGCCCTTTCTCCGTGCAACCACGTTAATGAGGGGGTAAATGTCTGGTTTGCCGTGGGCCTGCTGGTCCTTGTCGGCTTTGAATGCAGCCGCATCCAAGTTGACAATTAATCTCCTCGATCGTGCCCTGGGCTGAGAGCCATTTGCCTGGCCAGGATATTGTCGCAATGCGCGGCCTTGCTCGTCAAGTACCTGTACAATCTCGGCCGTTCGAAGATGGGTCATCCGAGGGGCTTCAGATGCACCTTGTTCCGACTGTGACGAGCTGGACTGGACGGCCAGTAGATAAACGACGTCATCAGGACGGAGTGAGTCCCATTCTCTCCTAACATTATCTGCAAGCCTTCCTACCTCTATCGCGATCTCAGCTCGAACAAAGGCCGGGTTTGTTGCCCCGACCTTGGGTGGTGCGACATCAATAATAGCAGGCTTTGAAATTGGGATAGCCATTCGAGAGAATCCCTCAAAGCTTAAGGTTCCATCGCGTGCTGCCTTCGGCTGCATGCGTTTAACGAGGGACTCCAGGTCCTTGCGGATTTGGAAAAATGCTTCTGATCGGTAGAGAAGGAAGGAGCGATAAAGGAAATCTCCGAGACTCAGATACTGGAGATTCAACTTTGGGATTGCCAGAGGCCTCGATCCGTCGTATGTCTCATTCCTCAACAAGGCCGGGTCATAGAGGGTTTCTTCCGTCGGAAGTGGACTCAACTTCTCGACAGCTTCTTGGAAAGGCACCTTGCGTTCATAAGAAGATGCCAAAACTTCCAGGTAAAACTGACGGTCTAGAGTGACGTGCGAGGATTTTGGGTAGCTTGTTCGGAATCCTAGGTGAGAGCAAAGGCTCTGGAGTTCTGACTCGTCTAGAGCAGATAGCTGTCCCTCTAGATCCACTCGCTGCGCAATCGAGCCCATATTGGAGAGCGCGAGAATCATGAGCTTATCTTTGAATAACTTCATTGAGGATCTTTGCAGCTGGGCCAATTCCTGGCAATGCAGGTCGTAAACTCCCTGCGGGGAAAGAGCCTCACCAGAGTAATCATCAATTGCAAATTCGACAAAATGTTTCAGAAGACTGTGGAAGTCACGTAGAAGGGCGTTGTCAGGCACATGGTAGAGCTGCGAAAGGCGAATAACCGATAGAAGGTTGAGGTCCTTTAACAACGTGTTCACGTAGCGCCTAGTGGGAAGCTGACTTTCGAGATCAACCAAGAGCTCAAGGAAACGCTCACAGTACAGCAAGTTCTCAGCCTGGTCCTTTTCGGGTCCGTTCAACCTACAAAGGAAATCCAAAAGCATTGTATATAGCCATGAACGTTCGAAGCGCATCTTTGCTTTCACCGCTTCATCTCCAGCCTCGTATCGCTTTCCAGAGGCCCTCCATGCCTTTTTCAATGTCGGGGCCTTTGCAATAATACGATCTCTAGTCTCCTCACTGGCCAAGTTGTGCCAGATCGAGATAGAAACGAGGGGCGCGCATTCCTTGCGGATTAGGACGTTCTCGAGTGACTGAAAGGCGCTGATAATAAACGATATGATAGAGAGTCGAGAGCGAGTCGGGAGTGAATGATCAATGCTCATTGAGAGAATACGGTGGAAGAGATTGGAGAAGTCATCAGCACGGTCGGAGAAGATATCTGCAACTGTCAGCATCGTCGCGTTATGAATCTCGTCGCATTGACTCACCCCATATCGGTAAGTGCTCGCAATGTTTTACACTGACGATCAATGCAATCAACAGTACATGATGATTCGACGCATCCTCTGTGTAAGTCGGCCAAAGGAACCTGGAGAACAGTTAGCGTTAGCCCTGGAGGTATGACTAGGGAGAACGTACTTCTCAAGAATGTTCAAGTTCTCGAGAATCAATAGCGAGTGACTATTGAAAGCCTCTGCTTCCAAAGGATCCCACAATTGCTTCTTGATGACATCTGGTTTGGCCTTGCGGACCTTCGTGTTCAGCCAGTGGGCCTTGGCTAGCTGCACCCACGGGTTTTCTTCACGAAAGTCCACCACTGTAGGCCTGGATTCGAGACTCTGCGCCATCGCAGGAGTCAGTAGTTTCCTTAACCTAATAAATTGGAGTGGTCAAGGAGGGGTGGATTGGCGCAGTCGGGAACATCTGCATCGGTGAAGCTGGGGGGAGCTTTTCAAAAAGTCTTGGCTCTGAGTTCCGCCGAGCCGCAGTCCTCAATCAATCCGACCACTTTGTTTCCCTTCTTCCTACATTCATGCAAACTTTTTTCTTCCCTTCGTAACCTCTCTTCAAAGAATGACCGAGGAGAGCCCTTGACAAGAAGCTGAAGACCGCAATCAAGGAAGTCCCAAGGTCCTAGAAGACACTCGACAAGGCGCCTACGAACACGCTCGTGACGACACTTCAAGACAACCCCTCAAGGGTCCCTTACAAAGGTGCCTGGGTAGACGCTGCAGGAAATGGCGAACGAGGATATTGGCGGTGTTCAGGTCTACAAAAGACTAGTGGACAATCTTCTGGATCGCGCCGCACAGGTCAAGCCCGACAAGCAGATCGAACCCCCTTTGACCGAAACATACCTGGGCGAATCGATATGGCAAGTGCCATCTGAGGATGACAAGGTTACAAAGCACTTAAGCCCACAGACTAAGCTTGCGGCCGTGGAAATCGCGTTTCGCGAGAAGTTCTATCGCGTTTTGGTACGGCCCTTACAAAGCTCTAGTCCCCAGGGTATCGTTAACAGTTCATTATAGGCCTCGACTTCCATCGGTGACCCTGCTTTCATTCAAATATGGAATCTCCTTGACATCGTCTCGATATTTTCTGATAATGGTCAGTCTCCGCACTTCCTCCGCAGTCCATACCGATCTAACACTCACCAGAACAATGCGAACCCGGTCTGATTTTCTGGCTCATTGAAGAGCTCTTGGATAGTCAAACTATTCATGGTTGCCGTAAGGTGTTTGACTACTTGGAGTCCCGAAGAGAGAGGAACACCAAGGTCAGCATGGCCCTTCATCTACTGGATCTGTTGCAAAGCTGACCCCGCACAAGAAACATTTCAAACAGAAAAGCTTAGTTATTCTACGATCATGCAACGAGCTTCTTCGCCGCCTCTCGCGCGCAGAAGATACAGTGTTTTGCGGCCGGGTGTTTATCTATCTCTTCCAGAGTTTCCCACTTGGAGACAAGAGTTCGGTTAACCTTCGCGGCGAGTTCCACTCTGAGAATGTCACGGCTTTTGACGGAATTGCAAATGAGTCTACCGATAAGCAGGAGCAGGATACAACAATGACTGAAGGGGCTGAACCCACGGCACCCGGGCAGGCAGCGGCGGGCCAGGCTGAGGCCTCTTCTCAGCAAACATCGAAAGTGCCCAAGGTCGTTGTTTCTACTGGGGATGAGAAGAAATCAGATGAAGTTGACTTGAATGCACTCTACCCGCTCTTCTGGAGCCTTCAGGCCTATTTCTCCGCACCGAGCAAGACGTTCGACGCTGAACGGTTTACATCATTTAAGACTGGAATGGAGGCTACGCTGGCTGCATTCAAGAGCATCAATACTGAGATGGAAAACGAGAGCTCTGCCCGAGCATCAGAAGATGCCCGCAAGTCGAACAAGCGCAAGCGCATCGCGGATGGTACCGAAGTCGCCACCAGTTTTAACCCGAAGTACTTGACCAGCCGGGATCTATTTGACCTCGAAATCAGCGATACTGCCTTCCGACGACATGTTCTTGTCCAGGCTCTCATTCTTCTCGACTTTGTGCTTTCTCTCACATCAAATTCCAAATCGCGCCTGGCTAATACGACGAACAAGTCCGTTCTTTACGGTTTCACTTTGAACGAGGAGGATACCAAGTGGGCGACCAGCATGCGAAAAAGCATCGAGGAATATTTGCAACAAGGGCCCGGGGGAAGTTCTATTATCGTATGGTGGACACAGTCTTGTCTCGAGACAAGAACTGGGTGCGGTGGAAAGCCGAGGGCTGTCCATTGATTGAACGATTGGCCATCTCGGCTGCGGAGTACAAGGCTTCCCGCGAGCATGCTACCAAGGCGTATGCCAACAAACGCCTTCGTCCGTCCCCAATGGGCTCTCTCGATTTGAAGTTCCTTGCCGACACCGAGGCGCTGGCCAATATTGAACGTCTCAAGGAATCCGACCGATACAACGTTCCTTCCGCCGACTCGTTCTTGAAGGGCATCATGGATGATGAAATGGACATCGATATGGCGATGACTGACGAGGACAAGGCGATTGCCGAGGGTGCTAAAGCCAGCAAGTCCTGGCGAATCTTGCGTCTTGCTGCGAAAGGAAAGCTTGCTGCATTCGACAAAATTGGAGAGGGCAACAACCTACAGGTCTTGTTTGAGAGTGCTACAGCCGCGGATGATCACAATGAGCTCAGTTCCTCTGGTGATACCAAGGATATCTCCCAATCCCTCGATGGAGCTCAGGGTCTGCCTGTTGGAACCAAAGGGCTCACTGAAGCGACCGAGACTGCTGGATCCGAAGAGCCTGTTGAAGGCAAAGTCGAGACAGCTCAAGATCTTCACGATCTGCCCCAGGGCACAGATGAGCGGGAAATGCAAGTCGAAAACAAAGACGTCATCAGGGAACAACAAGACCCAAGCACCGATAACAACAAGGAAGAGGCCCTTGCCGCCGCTAGCGCCTCGAGAGAGGACTCTGCCACGTAAGGTCAGATTGTGGCTTGAAGATATTCTGTTGGATAGTCAATGGCTTAGACCCCCTTTTTGTCCGGAGAAAATCCTCCAATGGACACCGTCTAAGGCGGTCACGCCGCGACCAACCACATCCAGATTATCCAGGCAACCTGCAGGATTTTATGCATCAATATCACGAAGCCGTTGGTGCCGTGATCTGGGAGCGAGATTACCACATCCGTGCACCTGCATTATCTGCGATACATCTGCTGGTATGGTTCAGCACTTGGTTTCTCTTTTTCAAATACGAATACCGGAGTGCGTCCTAGGTCATCCCTGCTGGCGGAGTTCAATCTTTCTCTACCCTAATTGGGTGTCATTTCACGAGCTTCTTTTTTCTTTTTTCTTTTTATTTCAAGAACCCGCCTATTCAGGGCCCTCGGTCCAGATTCGTCGGGGCAGAATTGACAAAGTTGGCGCTTAAACAGAAACAGAGAAAGAACCAATTAGGCCCATTGGCTGATTGCGGGCACGACTCCTGAACCGAATCCGGCATTCTACGGGAAGCGGGCCAATGACATACGACCTAACTATGTTGTACCCAAGACTAAAGACCTCGATGAATTAGCTAACGTGGAGACCATCTGGGCACAATTCTTTTGATCGGCAACTCTAATACATATGACTTGAAAGGGTTCTTCCTGCACGAAGTACGGAGCAGCTAAAGTAGAAAAAGGAATAATCATGTTCTGTCCATGTTCTCCAGACCTCATTTATTTTCACACGTGGCGTGTTTAGTGTCACGGTTATGTTTCACTTTTTTTCTTTTTTCCTATTTTTCTATTTATCTATTTATCTATTTTATGTATGAGAAAGCAGGGGGTAAGGATTCAGTGGCACGAAATAGGATTAAGCGACTTCGGAAACAAGATCAGTAGGGGAAAAAAGGAGAGAATATGGAGTACGGAGTAAGTATCCAGGATTACGGAGTACATTGTACACGAGATCACAAAAGCAAAGTGTCCCCATTGAACCATTACATGCAGAAGTGGGCACCATGTTTCTCCCCTGTCCACTTGGGTTTGGCCCCCTATTTTTCGCGAGCCTAGGGAAGAATCCTTCGCTTCGACGGAGTAGTTTGCGATATAGTACAACATACACTATATTGGCAAATAGCGCGCACTGATCGTCTAGCGTTCGATGCGCAACACGTATAAATTGTGCAATCAATAAATCCCAAGAATAAAAGCCACATGGGAATTTGAACACTATCGACACAAGCGTTGAGTTTGGTCTCCACCAGTGGAGGCTATACAAGAGATAGAAGGGGACGTACAATCACGGTAGCCATGTGGTTCGATCTGATGCACTGGCCATGTGGGTATGGGACGGAGGACGGAGTATGGATGTACCGACGAGTGTCCTGGAGATAAAATCCGTGTCTATCTTCGTTCTAATCCGGTTTAGGCAAATGTTGATGTTCATTCTAGATCGGGAATTATACATATATATATATATAGGTATAAGTATATGTACATGGGACGTACCTATGCATGTACTTGTTCTATGTTATTCTCTATTCTATATAGGTTCTATCCCTATTTTATATGTTGCCAGAAATACTCCGTATACTCGTATACTCGTATACTCCGTTATGGAATTCGCCAAGAGATCGACTTGCGTCACCTTAATATTCTAAAGTCCGATGGTATAATACCCACGTGTAAGTATGAATCCCCTGTACAAGTACGTGGCTTGATACTCCAGTGTACGGAGTACGGAGTATAAGTGGATGAATGCAATGCCTCGGTACGGAAGAGATAAAGTCAAATGCCTCGATCGCTCGATCTGGTTACCCCGCACAGCACGTTCCAGAAGGGAGATTGCAAGGACGTACACATCATACGTTGCAACGGTATGATCTTGATCTTTCCTTTAATTTGAATTTGAATTTGGCCGTCAGGGTTCAACACGAAACAAATCAAGCAGAAACAGATTGGCCTACGTAGAGATCGTCACTCCGTGGTGTGGATCGAAATCCAACGGCTCCGAGTTTTCTCCTCCGAGATCCACCTGCTTGGGGAACCTAAGCGGTATGTAACTTATCCGTACACTTGATATACATGATATACACCGTATACATGGAGGTAGGCGCTGAAAAAAAGAAGGAAAACCTAGAAACCTGAGAAACCGATGCCCCAGGTCCTATCCGATATATCCGATGTCCTTCGGCAGAGTCCTGACCCACATGGATCTCTAGAAAACGAAAATATGTATCATTAACGAGTACCGTTGACGCCTCATTTCACCTGCGACTCGAATTGTTTCATATCAATTGTGGAGATTTCCAGGGGAGCTGTGTCTCTACAACTACTCTGTACCGACTCCCGAGTGGTATATCCTCGCTAAAAAACTCCTTAACTAGGTATGTAATTCCGAGTTCCCAAATTTGACGGCGCAAGGCCCGCTTGGTGGTCTTTCCTGAAGAAGGTAATGCAGCTCTCGAAACTTCCTTAACGAGGCTCTTCAAAAGGCTATCGTACACCGTTTCAGGTATTGCTAATGTGGTTCTATATTGGTTCTTTTGACTCGGGCATTCCTGATTTGCGATGTTGACGGTCCTTATATAGATATTATGTGTTTGAGGCGATTCCCCTTTTTCTCGTTTTCCCATTTCCCTATTTTTATTTTTCCCTTTCTCCAAGCCTTTTGGGCGCTATCTCCACCCAGCCCTCGACTGCTTCGCTTCTTTTCGAGGCATTTCACGATGGAGCTGTGGCGGGCAGCCCGCTGAGTGGCTGTTCCTCTTGGTCCTTGATCGATAGCCCCGTCCGCTCAGGATTTATGGATCTTCAGCACGCCACTAACACAGCCGACTGGCCCTTCCCACATGGCCTGGTCTGCGCATTTCCGGTGAGGGTCTTACATCTGTACTCCGTAACGGTTGCAGGAATCAGGCTTTTTGTTTTAACTCTCTCTGTCTACTCCGACGGATTACGGAGTATACAGATCCCAGCTAAGCTTCCACGGCCAATTCCACATTCTTTATACTAGAAACTAAAAGGACATACAAGTACGGCAGTGTCTCTTCTCTCTCCTTTATCTTCCCTTAGTTTCGCTTTTCCGGGTGCCGGGTCCCGCGGGACCCATTTTCTCCCCTTTATCGTCCAAGGTTGAGCTGAGTTGACGTGGTGGTTCCCAGCCTTGCAACTTGGACGATTCCCACAATTCCCACCACATGAATCCTGAACGTTCGGCGGTGTCCGTTATGGCGACAGAGTCTTGTTTGACGTACTCCGTACTCCGTACAATAGGATTCCATCGGCTCTTTTACCCCGTATTCGGTCGGCATATTCTGTACCTGTCACTTCGTATCCAGGGACGCCTTACGGGTAAAATGGGCATTGGATCGGAGGCTACGATTTTATTCTCCGAGACGATCCTTTTAGTTTCTGATATGATACTAGCTGTCTGTACCGTCCCATACCATCTGTACCATCTGTAACCTGTGTTTTACAAACGAGGTTAACGGCCACCGCTATGGACCGTTTGGTATAGGATCTTCGTCCAGGCAAAATAGATCGAATGTTGATCTGTGGACTCGAGTCTATGTTATGTTGGACTTTCTACATTGTACATGCACATCTTCGTCTCATGCCCCTCAGGCTCCCTGAGAATGGATTTAGCTGAACGGCCTGCATCTGGGTTTTTCCTTTTGAAGTGGAATGTTTTTATCTAGATAGGACAGGCCTAGGATGAATAGCTACATTCTAACCATACTATCCCATCCCATCTTGTATACATGGGATTTATCGGGTGGCCAAAATGGTGGACCCTGGCGCCATTCCGTTTAATATCCCTGTATTTCCACTGTTACCTCGCTTGGCTATTAAAACCTATTTGCCTCACAGGATATCTCCGGTCGATCCTAGTCTAGCGGCATTGTGTGTCCAGGTACCACATTTGATTCTGGTGGATGCTTCTCTCTCAACATCTTATACAGCCCAGTAACTGCCCAGCTGCGTAACGATCATCAGAATCAATCGGAACCGATCTCAGATCCAAAGAAAAAGGAAAAAGAATTAAAAAAAAAAAAAGAATAAAGGTTGGCGACAGTTGTCCCGCTTGACATCTTACCCTCGTTTGGGCCTTCTTTTTCCCTCTTTTCTCCTCTTCACTTGACACGCATACTTTTTGGCGCCTTTAATCGCCTTTCTTATTTTCTCTAAATCAGGAACAAAGCAGTCTTACCCTTTACTCTAATTGCCAGAAGAAACCCTGACCCTTTTTTTTACGGCACTTCCATCAGACCCACCAACGTCTCATATCGGGGGGTGTCTACGGTATCCTTTTTGGGCTAGAATTTCTCCTATTGCTTCTGTTGACGAAAGTCTTGACTCTACTTCTTTTTCCTTTTCAAAAGAGAACTCGTCTTTGGTTTTGAATTATCGTGGGTAAGGGCAACACACACACACACATACACGCACCCGCACCCAAACTAGACCCTTACCATGTCAGTCGGTGGCCCTTGCCTTTGGTTACCTTCTTTATCTTCGCCGGTTCATTCGCCCCTTTCTGCAGTTTCGTCTCATCTATCAGCCCGGAATAGCGAGAGACTCTCTTTAGGGCCTAGGACTATCTCACCACGGCTATCTGCGCAGAAGAAAGAGGAGCCTGGCGTTCCTGTTCCTGTGCACGTTCCCGCTCGTCCTGTGGAGATGCAGCCGACTGGTTATAAGGCTGAGAACGCCTTGAATAACCCGGTGGCACAGCCCGTCAGCATGTGTTCAGCGCCGTACTTGGAGAGAGATGTTTCACAGGATACGGTCAACCACCGCTTGGAGGCGGCGAAACAGGATATGCTTCCGCGTGTTAAATTGGAGATCCCAAGTCTGAATCAGCGGGGCTTTTTGGCTGTTCAGCCCCTGGTCGGGCACGGCGGTCATCCCGAGGAAATGGGTATTTCATCGTTTTCGGGCTCGCATGACCAGAGAGACGACCACGACAGAGAATCGACAATCAGTCCTGATGAC